ATATATACATTAAATGTAACATCAAGTTGATGTGACTTACATACATGTCAAGTTTTTTACGAAAATAGCAACATCAATAGTCACGTCAAACTTTTCAACATGCATGAAATTCTTATCATATTGACGTGGTATTAACATGAAAGAGTCAATAAGTGTGCTACCTGGGAGGTGATTTATGCATCGCAGGCCATACTTAGACCTAGAAGTCTCGCTTCTTTGCTTTAGGAACGTGATCCCACTCGATTCTCTCTCTGCTCTGTACGCAAGGAGTTGGGCTTCGTAGTTCCTTTCGCTTCTTTGTAAACAAATTTTACCAACTTTGTCTTTCACAGTCTCCGAATCGATGTAGTCCTTCAAGGGAAGTACTTTTACAGCAATGACAGTACTAGGAACTCAGTACCCAAGACCTCCAAAAGACACGAAGACAGGGTGATACAAGCCTATAGATTCCTTACTCGATAGGATTTATCTTTCCTGTTAGGAACAAATTCAGTTTTTATTCATTTATTAGTACCTTTCTATGCTAGTTCAATAGTAAAGACCACTGCAAGTGGGCTCAGTTGCCCAATAGAAAGCCCATCAGCACCTCACATGCTAGAATCCTATTTTGAATATTTTTGTGCTCGAGGCAGTTCTGCTTACTGGACTACTGGAAAACTTTTCAGACTTTCATGATTTGATTAGTAATTGATTCTCGCAAAAAGCAAGTCGTCACAGCAAGGCAAAGTCCACAGGACCCCATTTCCGACCAGACAACCTGTAGTTGTAGTTAAATACTTAAATACCCTTGGTACTTAAATAAAAATAGAGTAAATAGAGCAGTAAATCAGCGCCAAAAAAAAATCCATAACTGGACACCCCAGAGGGAAGAAAGTCTAACAGCTCCTAACCAGAGCCGTACCGAGGGGGCTGCTAGCGGTGCGCCCGCACAGGGCGCCGACTTGAGGGGGGGTTGAATGGCTGCCAAATCACAACAAAATATGGATAAATATTTTTTTAATTAAAAGTTATCCTGAATTTAACTAAATTAAGCAAAGAAATTAATACGTATTGTATTGTCGATGCTGGGAAGCTGGAGAGGTTTAGAGGGGAGGGGGCCGCTGGATTGATATCTCGCACTGGGGGGAGGGGGGGGGGGCGGGATATCTCGCACAGGGTGTTAAATATCCTCGGTACGGCTCTGCTCCTAACTTTTTCAGATAGGTCTTGCACTTTCGCTTTAATAACTTGCTCTGGATCAGTCCTTGTTTCTCGGATAAGAAGTATCTGCAAGGAGAGTCCAGTGGTAACTTCAGTACTTGAAATTTCGTCATAAATAGACATTGACTGAAGTCCTAGGCGCCATTGCTGAGTGAGAGGGGAGTGTAGGGAAACAAATTAGGGACTGGGGGAAGGTGGTACACAGAAGCAAAACAGAAGCTGTGGGCTAGTGGGACGGGAAGACAGAAGCGGAACGGAAGCCGAGGACCCTGAGAAGAAGAAAGAGGGTAGCGGCCGATCGGATAACAGGGATTGACTTCTTTTTTTTTAAATTGCGTTTCGGGAAAAACGAACCAGGGAAAGGTCCAGCTCTCGCAGCGTGAAATTGAGAAAGGAGAAAATGACAGAAGAAATCCGTGCACAGGAAATGGATTTTCTCAGAAGTTTGGTAACACCGTTCCCTCCAATCCCATGCATTTTAACTACTGGGCAGTTCACTGTTGGAATCGGTCCAGCAAGTTCTGCTTTTCGATTCGCGTGGTTTAGATATAAACTACATATTAATGCCTTCGGTACTGTACGAGATCAGTACTTGAGACCCTCAAAAGACTTATTATGGAATAGGTATATCTGTGCCTCACTAGAGGAAATCGATATATTGGGTTGGAAAGAAAGTCTTGCAACACTTTCTGACAAAGCCCTGCGGAACGCCCTCAGCGCGAAGCCGAACGCCACCACTCGCGAATTGGCGACTACACTTGGAGTCACCCATATGGCCATCGGCAACCATCTGAACGACCTCGGCTATCGGAAGGTTTACTCGACATGGGTCCCTCATCAGCTCAGTGACTTTGAGCCGTGTCAGTGTCTGCGAATCACTGCTCCTTCGTCCGCACAGAAAGGACCTTCTGAAGGAAATCGTTACTGGAGATGAGAGCTGGGTCCTCAACGTCAACCATACTCGCAAGAGTCAGTGGCTTCCACGAAGAGAATTGCCACCACACGAACCGAAACCAGGGTTCCACGAGAAGAAGGTTCTTCTCTGCTGTTGGTGGGATTCAGAAGGAATGTTGTACTATGAGCTCCTGCCAACCGGTACCACAGTGACTGCCGTCGTCTACGCTGCTCGACTTCAGAAGTTGGCTGGCGTCATTCAAAAAGAGCGTCCCAAACGCGATAAAGTTCTCCTTCTGCATGACAACGCTCGTCCACATGTTGCGATGACTCGCCAGACGATTTCGGAACTGGGCTGGGAAGTTTTACCCCATCCAGCGTATTCTCTGGACTTGGCCCCTTCCGACTATCACTTGTTCCGGGCCCTCAAGAATCACCTGCGGGACAAGGCCTTCGACGATCGAGCACAGCTCGAAAATGATGTCGGCCGTTTCTTCGCTTCGCAATCGCCAGAGTTCTGGGCAAAGGGCATCGAGCAGTTACCCGTGCGTTGGGAACATGTCATAGACAACAATGGCCACTACATTGTAGACTGAAATTGCATTTCAATAAAGTTATAAAATTTTGACAAATTTGCGCAGAGTGTTGCAAGACTTTCTTTCCAACCCAATTATATCAATGGTTTTTCAGGAAGTTGGGCTGTACCTTCCGTTACCCGCTGTGGAAGAAAAAGCAGAATATCCCAAAGCGCGTACTTCCACATCTATGGAAGCAAGGCTCCGAAATTGATTGAAAATTTTTTGACACGGCTACCGTGGCGAATGGAGGAAGTATGTCGATTTTCACGCCCATGCATCATCCCGCACGCGAGTTTTGGAAGAGGGAGGAGACTCTGCGTTACGAGTGTTACCGTAAGGCATTATCGGGGTCGATAATGCAGTGCTTGGAGGAATGACTCCTCAAGGCATTAGAAGAGACTATGCAGGAGCGAAGAGTGCAACGATCTGCTCCTTGGTATCGTACGACTTCATCCATGTCACATGTGAACAAAAGAAGTCGAGAAACCTGTTCCGGTGTTCTGTGCTGCTTACTCACGTATCATTCAGTGGTGTGTGTGTGTTCATGCACTTGCATCTCCCGTGTAAATCACGTTCAAGCTTACAATAGGCCCAACTGAATTTTGAAAAGCAAAGAAGCAAGGCTTCTATGACCTCACCCATGTCGAGAATGTGTATACCGCCTTCTCATCGCGCCAGGGACCGTCTTTTTTGTCTTCGCAAGTGCCCTATGCTTGACAATGAGTAGGAAAAAAAAAAGTTTTAAGAATGTTCCAGGTCATGCTTTCAACCGATGTAATCCTATAGATTGGGATCCGCATGGATACAGAGGGACCAGAAAGGCATTGCTAAGTAATGAATTAGGCACCCAAAAGGTCCAACCAGGACAGAGACGGTTTCATTCTTATTAAAACATTTTTAGTTTACTGTCACGGTGTAGAAATGTTCGTCGGAACGCTTCAAAATGCTGATCCCTATCTTTCTGAAAGGGTTCACCTGCGTTATGGAAGTACCACGATACGATCGACACAGTCATGGAAGTGAAATTGTCTCACGCCTAGAAGTGAAGGTTTCAATCGAGGGTTCACACTACTAAGAGTGCGCATTCACGATGTTAGTTGAGTGCAGTCGCGGGTACAGCAGAGGTTTTCAGTTTAGACCCGGATCATCAATACACAATGCATTTCGCGTTTTGTGTCGTGACTCGGGTCACGACCCGGTCAAATCTGACTGCTATCTCTGTTGTAAGATGTGGATGAGAGGAGAGGAGGAACGCAGGGTATTCGGCAGCATAAATCGAGATGATTGATCATCCGGACCATTCACCACAGGCATACCGAGTGGAATTCGCCATAGGGCAGAAACTTCGTAGATTATCCGAGCCATGTGGTTTCTTTCCACCCCGCTAGGAACCAATCAGATCCACCTTCTCTTACCTTCAGGTGCACCCAAGTTACGATGGGTATCTTATTGATAATTCACAATTGCATTACGATTTATTGGGAAGAGAGTCACCTATAGCCTGCTAGAAGGAAATCCCCTGCAATAGAACGGGGGCAATTAAGGGTTTCGTTGAAAAAGAGTTCGAAACGGATTCAGGAAGCATCTGTGAGCTTTCTTTTCAGTGCGGAAGAAATGCTTTTTTTTATGAGGCATCGAAGCAGGCTTGCGAAGGTGGCTGCAACGCTGGGTGATTTGTGGAGGGTTGTTTCCCACGGGGATGGAATGGAACGTGAGTCGTGAGAGAGAGAGAAAAAAAAGATGATGATGAGACCCAGAGGCGTTCATAAGCTTACGCGAGTGAGTCCAAGCTGGACATAGACCAAAGTGGACATGGAGAGCGGAGTGGGTGAGGCCAGTGGCCTCACCCCCTAGTGAGTCGAGAGAAGTGCTCCAGCACAAGCAACATGGCGACCTCCATCGACCCCATCCACCTGATATCATGATCCCTGATCGTGACTCAGGACGCGTCTACGTCTTTCATACTAGCACGTCATCTCTCATTAAGGGATAACCCACTTTTAAGTCTTTTGTTTGCCGACCGTGTTTGTATTGGCTTGTGCCGCTTCATTCCTGTGCTATTTTTTTCTATGAGACTGCATGATGCGTCGGTGAAGTGTGCTGTCTCTTGGGGATTGAAGGCCGGTCATTGGGAAGGCAGAAGCTTGTCCAGGCGTTACTAAATCAATCCGAATTAAGCTTAGAACTTAGAGCTAGGCCTATTCCATTATTTCCTAACCCTACTTAAGAAGTCATTTCATTCGAAGCTCACAATGACACAACCTAGACCTAGGCTTAGTTTAAGAAATATTTTTTCCCGATGTGGCGAGTAGTATAAACTCAGCGTGCCTTGAGTGCAACAGAGTTGGGTATAAAAATGTTGAACTCAGCTCCCTTAGGCCTAAGTTGTGCCTAATCTAACCCACAGTAAGAGAACCAGAGATAGCTCATTACATAGCTATGTATGTTAGAGCTATAGAATCAACTTGTTGGAAATGGAATTGTTCGAAGTTGGAAATGTTTAACTTCACAGATATGTTATATGGAAGAATTTCCGATGTATTTCTGAATGATACTGCCCTGCTGCTCTCTGTGACTGTGCTCCTCTCCCTCATTGTAGTGTTAATGGGATGCATCTGCTGCAAATATCGCCTGAGAGGATTCAAGGTATGTGAAGCTTAATTTGTATAGAATTGGTTACTACTCAGTAAAGTTAATAATATTAACATGTATAAGTACTGCATATATGATATGGCACAGGCTGTGTCCTGAACATATCAGTATCTTCAGCTCTTATTGTATTCTCATGAAATTAGAAGATAACTGCCTTTGATTGTGAACCATAAATCTTTTGCAATAGTGCTTGACTGCTATCAATTTGCCTTCATATACCCTTCTTGGAGGTGCTTGAGTGTAATCTATGCACCAAATGTCCAAGTGTTCAAATATCATTTTAAGAAATTTAAAGCATGGCATTTATATGAAGTAAAGAAAGAGAAGTAGAGAAGATTAAGGTTTGAATTTGAACATTTTCCCATCATTTACCATGAAAATATTCAGAGTGAAGGATTTCACTTCACCCAGAAGAAATTCCACGGCAAAAGAGTGAACACTTAAAATACCTATATGCCAATTTTGTCATATATGTTTATTTTTTACTCCCCTTTAATTTGTGAATCTTTGATAATGGTCATTCCTGCCAATTTTTGACAATATGAGGAAATGATAGCCTAAAGTTAGTAAAATTGTGCTTTTTTATGGCCTATACCATGAATATGCATTTGTAAAAATTGGGCATTACTCTTAGGCAGATCATAGAAGAAGTTATGAACAGACTGCACAAATTGCATTCTGTACAAGTTTGGTGGACAGAAGTGATGCATTGTTTACAAGCATAGGTAGATTCTCTATTTGGCCATAGAGCCTATTCAAACTAAAGTGAGAAAAGAAGGATTGGGAAGCAGCTATAGCAGGGAGCAATCATGGGTTGGTAGGTTGAGAGCTTGCTATGAATCTGTTTGGAACATTGCTGCCAAGTAGGCAATTATGCAGAGAGATATTCTTCATAAACAGCCCCTCCTCTATTCCTATTCCCATTGCAAGCACAGTAGCTCAGGTTAATCCCAAGATTGCTCAGAATACAATAATTGTCATTATTTGATGGGCCTAGGCCAATATACTGTTCTATATACTAAGCTAACAAAGAAAAAAGTTTTTATTTATTTATTAAGATGAACTGGTGGTTAGGATAGCTAGGCATAGCCTTAGTCATAGTGAGTTTCACAGCCTACATCAAGGAGAGGCCCGATCATGTAGGCTAGTATTAAGTCTGATGGAATAGAAGCCCATAGGGTAATTCAACTTCAGACTAGCCTCACCTTTGGCATTGGTCTGATTGTACATAATATAAAACCAAGCATTAAACATTTTCAAAATTTAAATTCACTACCTTATGAGATAATGGTTCTTAGGAGAGAGTAAGTTGAATGAAGAAATGGGCTTGAATGAATTTAACTTTTTTTTAATGCAAACCTTAGGATGGACATCCATTTATTCATATAATTTCTGTCAATGTTAAAAAATTAAATTAAATAACACAGAAAATCAACAAGGAAAGCATTTTGAAAGATATGTGACACCCACATAAATAAAATGGTAAGAGAGGGAAGTAGAAGAGAAGAGAGAGAGTGAAAAACAGCAGAATTGGGAGTATTGTTTTAGATGGTTGATGTCTACCCTATTGTACCACTTGAGCTTATCCAGCTGACTATTTTTTTTGTCTCTTAATTTTTAATTCCTTTATGTCTGTTGTCCATAGCTGTATTTATGTTCTTGTAGCATAAGAAGTATTTGTTTTCTTTTAATGTACAATTTGGTGAAGAATCTCTAATGTGTCGAGGTGATGCATAACAAATTTTAATTCAGTTTGATTGGAAATTCAGTACTGTTTTAGGAACGCAGTTACTGATTGTTGTTGCGTTCTTATTTTATATTGATTCCATTTATTGCACCCTACTGAACTATTAATACCAAGCTTTCTGTTATTGTTTCTGAAAGCATATTACATACACATGTATTTTTTTATTGTAACTTTTTGGATTGAGATTGATGATTCTAATTTATATATATATATATATATTTTTTTTTTTTTTCTTTTGTAGGAGAGCCTTTGGAATCATATCCCTGTCTGTGCTAAAAACTCATGTCCATGGACCCTTTATTTGAATACCTCACTTCATGTATTGATCCAGTATTCCTCCTAAATATTTTTTAGTTGAAAAATCTTCTTAAAGATAAGGTAATACCTATCAAACTGAAAGTAAAATACTGCTGCTGCTGCCTTTCTGAAATCATGCATATCTATGCAACTTGTTTTTAGAGTTGTTTGCAGTAAGCTACCCAGCATTTCTTGAGTTATATTCAAGCCTATTTTTCTACTGCATGCATTCTCTCTGCCTCCGTTTTATCTTTAAAAAATATATATATATATATTAGACTAGACTAGGATGTAGCATTGAACCAAAGTGTCACTCCTTTGAAGACTTCAGCTATTTAATTCAAAGTTAGGACTAGTTCCATTCTCAATGTCACCCATAGGCTATGCATATAAGAGACCTAGCACTAATATGATTTAAATATTATCTTTTGGTTCTTGAATGATTTCACAGGAGTTTCGGGACAATCAGTCTGTCCTGGATTTGCCTGCAAATGGAGAAATTGGTCAGTCTGAACTGTGCATTTTCCCCCCATATGCAGAAGAAAGGCTGAATGCTCGGCATGGACCTTCAGGAAACCTCATTAGGGGAGCCAGTGTTAATGCTGCAGTAGTGAACCAGTGGTTTGGTAAGATCACTTGTCTGCAACCTTCAAAGCTCATAATGAATGCCTTTCACATATTTTTTTGTAAAACTGGATCCTGATTTTTTTTATGCAGAGAATCCCCATGACAACTTTCCTAGGAGCCAGATCCACTATCATAATTTGATCGGAAGAGGATGGTTTGGCCAGGTTTGAAGAGAGTTCATTGCAGTTGCTGTACTATCTCTTTCTTGTGGCACCCTATTACTTTCTTTGTTAAATTGCTCCTGCACAGGTGATCCTTGGAAGCATCCGCATCTCAGGAGAAGATGTTGGGAAAGGGAAAGCAGCTGTAGTGAAGGAGCTGCGACCAGATGCCAACGTGACAGAACAAATGCATTTCTTACATGATGTGAATGTCTGCAAAGCTGTCAGTCACCCCAATGTTTTGGGATATCTTGGGCATTGTCTGGAAACTGAACCGTTCTTGATACTCCTTGAACATTGTGCTCTGGTTAGCTTGAGAGAGAAAAGGATTGTTTGAGTGGGTATCTTGGCAATTTATTATCATGCCTTAATATTTTTTTCAGGGGGATTTGAAGGAGTTTCTATTGATGAAATTGGGCCAGTCAGAAACCAAGATTTATCAAGATCATGGGATTCTGATTCGCATGGCACGTGATGTGGCTGCTGGTTTGGCTGCCATTCATCAACATGACCTGGTTCATACGTAAGATAATTCCCTTAAGAAATCTGTTTATGATTCACATCAGGATTTGAAGGCAAGTTACATTGACTGTCCTTGAAATAGGGATCTGGCTTGTCGCAACTGCCTCGTGGTGTCTGATCTTACCATCAAAATTGGGGACTATGGTCTTGCAACCAGCAAATATAAGGTGAGAGAACATTCTGTTACTCTTGGAAGAACTGAAATTGAATAATGTTGACTGCAACATGTAACCTGTCTTCATGAATTCCAGGGTGAGTATTATGTGTGCCAGAATCGGGCAGTCCCAATCCGCTGGTGTGCTCCAGAGACACTCCGCTGCACAGATGAGGCCACCCTGGAAACACTGGAAGTGACAAAGGAGGCCAACATGTGGACCATGGGAGTGGTCATCTGGGAGATTCTCTCTATGGGTGAATTGCCCTATTCAGAACTTGAGGATGAGGATGTCCTTGATCGTGTTGTGTGTCACAGGAACTACCGCCTCCCTCTCCCATCTCTTTCCTGCTTGCACAGGGATCGCCTGTATGTCATTTGGCAAATCATGAAGTCTTCAGTTATTTAATTTTAATTTTAAAAGCTTGTCTTGTGTCATCCACGGCAGTAAATTCAAGGAGGCACTTGCTTTGTACCTGTACTCCTTTCAGAAGAGTTTGTGTTGTGTTCCCCAGAATGCCTACATTTTAGCATGTCTCTTGTTTAATCTAGATATCAAGTGATGCAGCTCTGCTGGCAAGACTCAATGATGCGCCCATCAGCCTCCACGACACACAATCTTCTGGCTCACTTGCATGGAAGTCTTGCTGAGGAGGATGGGACATCTGAGTTTGAGAACCGCTGGAATGCTCTCCAAGACATGATAGGAAAGCCAGCAGCTGCTTATAATGTTGCCCCAGCCTCCATCTATGCAGATGACTCCCTGAAATTTGAATCTGATTTCAACCTCAGTGCTTATGAAGAAGATCCACTTCCAGGGATTGTTATTGAGGATCCAGGAGATAGTCCAGCTCTGATGCCAAATTTCCAAATTGGTGGGATTTCTCACCCACAACCTCCAGCAGTTCCTGTGCTGGATACATTTGCTCCCAATCTGGACAGCATCAACCTCAACTTCAGTTCTGAATTCAATCAGATGCCAAGCATTCTTCTCAATCGACGGAATGACTCCATCATAGATCCTGAGGATGAGATCTGGAGGCGAAGGGTTGAACGTGGCGAGTTCAGTGAAAAGGTTCGGCAGAAGTCCCAGAGTGTTCAGGACTTCATGAAACTTATTCACATTGAAAACTCCAGCAGTAGTGGAGAGCAGAGTGAAGACGTCAGCCCTGAAACCTCCTTTCGAGCTACAGGAGCAAGTGATGGGAACCTCACAGATTCAACACTGAAACAGGACTTCCTTTCTGCACTGGAAGAACTCCATGCCATTTCTCGATCTTCAAAGCTTGGATCTCGTCTGTCTCAGAGTGTGGGACGCTTGAATGAGGATGGCAGTTCGTGTGACAGCTATGGTGGGGCTGGATCACTAACAAACCTTGTTTCATTTTCTCCATCTGATGGAAGATCTCTTGGCAGTGGAGACCAGGTTCATGATGGTGAAACAAGTTTAACTAAAGATAATTCACATGTGTCTAATTGCTCAAATTATCATTCTTCCTCGGATGTGACAGCTTATGTGACAGCTCCAAGTACGCTGGACGAATTGGGGCATACTTATGTGAGATTTGATAACATATCCAGTGATTTGGATGATTCAGGTGCAGACTTTCTGGTGAATGGAAGAGGAGATTCTGCACTTTCAAGCACCCCACTTAAACTGAGGCATCATGATACTCATGTCAGCCATGAACCTAGTGTAATCTTGGGTCCATCTGATGACTATGGCCTTGATTACTTTCAAGCAGTGAAGACATCTCATTCTTACCGCATTCATCCTGATGTTCAGGATCATGATATGGAGACTAAAGAAAATAAATCAGGTGCTTGGACCAATGGCAGCTGGGTGGTGATTGATACCCCTCAGCCTTCTATCTGTGAGGCTGCTGATGAAACTGGTGAGGATATGTGGCAAGAACAGGTGTCATCCATGCGTCAACAGGGTGCCAGAGCCATTGACCTTTTGGAAGAAGCTCAGAAAGAACCTGAGTTCCAAAGAGACGATCTGACTCAGGAAGACCTAGAAGTGTTGAAAACAATGCTGCATAGTCATCTGGGATCCACTCCCCTCATTACAGAACCCCATGACGAAGACAACAATCAAGAGGATCCTGAAGAGCACCATGATGAAGTTTATGTGAATTACTCTTCAGGGGTCCCACTACTGCTATCACCAATTCATGAGGAAGATGAGGAAGAGGATGGAGACAAGCGTGTTACCCTGGAGGACCTGGAGGTGTCTTCAAGTGATCCTCGCTCAGTGCGCCTAATAGATGAGACCCGTGCACGCATACTCAGTGAAGATGAAGATGATGACGATTCAGAAGATGACCAGATCCTGGTGGTTGATACTGAGACTCATGAGGCTTACTTGTGTGATAAGAGTGAAGCTAGGAGGTCTCATTCCTTGCCTTATGAAAATCCTCGAGTGCCCCAGTCTCATCCACGTTGGCAGCATGTTGTTCACCCTCCCACTGTGAGATTTTCTTTGGAGTTACATATCTACTCATTAGTTCATTTTTCACTGTTTAAAATATTTGCCTTTGCTACCAACTAATTTTATAAGAATGACATTGATAGTCAGTACTGTCTAGGGCTGGCTTTGCAACAAGAGATACCATCATTAGATCTAAAATGCATCTGGACAGCTGTAGTCAGTCATCCTGTTTATGGACAGCCAGTTATAGTCACAAGTTTCATATAGCCCATTGATTTCTTGTCCTATACTAAATGTGGTTCTTCTATGCCAGCCGGAAAGGTTCCAGGATGGAGAGTTGTCCATAGAGGAGGATGGTGATGGTGCTGAAGAGATTTGTTATACACCAGACTGGGAAGAAGGTTCTTCTCCCAGCTCTCACTCTTCTTCCTCGTCTGTGTCCGACGATTCTTCTACCAGTGGGGAATACGTCTATAGTAGGGTAAGTCAATCTCCTTGGTTTCATTTTTTGTTTGTAGTGCTAGGGTTAGAGGAAAGTCAAAATAGAGATATAGAAGGAAAAATCTTCTGAACAAAAAATCATGATTGCAGTCTCCTGAAGTGGGGCTAGGGTCTCAAGGTTTGGATGGAATCCCTGAAGAGGAGGAAGAAGGAGAAGCCACTCAACCTGATGTAGCAGTAAGCTTCTGAAAATGCTAGCCACCTTTGTCTTTTCCAAAAGAGATTTCACAGAGCATGAATTTATTTTCTAGGTGCCTGCAAACAAGGAGCAAGTTGACCAAAACAAGAACATGTCTGTGTCCTCATTTAAGGGTCTGTTCAAGAAAAGGCTGTACAGATGAATAGGACTAGCTGGTAAACATCTATAAGAACGTTGAAACTGCATTTTTGTTTTGATTGTTACAGAATGGGAACAGGAGGAGGATGAGGATGAGATCCCAGAAGAATTGGGAGTCGAGGAACTTGACACTCCAGGGAGCAGTGTGTCTGATGTCAATCACAACAGGCAACCCAACGATTCCACAATACCACTTATTAGTAAGATTTTAAATTATATTCAGTCAGACTCATTGGCAAATATTTTTGTTTCCTTCCAAAGATATATCAAAGTTAGGTTATTTACAAGAAGTTAATCTAAATATTTTTTCTGTTGTGCTCTACTTTTATGTTGTCAGTTTTGAAGAGTATCTTCAACTTCTGCAAAAGTATTGTTTTTAATGATCTCTGTTGGAAAAGATCCATTATGTCACTCTCCTGTTTCATGACATCAATATGACATGTTGCAGAGGAGGCAGTTGGAGGAGAGAAAAGCCCCACTCGAGTCCCTGCCATTTTCAATGGGAGCCAATTCTTCCCTGGCCTTAATTGGTTCCCCAAAGAAGATTCAGCATTTCCAGAAACTTGAGGATGCAGTTGTCCTTGAAGTCAAAGGTGCTCTGTAGATAGAAATATTTTAAAAGTAATTACCTCTTATGCCAAATTCATAAGCATCTTCTTTATCACATCCACAATACTCCCATTTTGGAGAAAATAAGTTTCAGACATCCTCATAGGACTCCTGTGATCCCCATTGTATGACAGATCTGCTCCTTGGGTTGTGATATTGTGGGAAACCCTTGGGATGTAGGGGAAAATGGCATTTCTTGATATGAATGTGACCGGTCCCTTTGATAGTCTTCCCTGTAAGTAATGTTATTTTCTTATCTGGAGATGTTTCATGACATTGAAGGTCAAATTTGTACAGTATTATTTATCAGCTGTATTATGCTACTTCTTGAGACCTTGTTGAAGCTCATGCACCAAAGAAAGCAACATGTGTTCCATCAGTAGCTATAAGCGCATGGTACAAAACTTCCAGAGAATACGAAATAATGAAAGAAAGTTTGTTCCTATCTATGTTACTGGCATTGTTCATCTGTGTGATCCCTCAACAACAGCTTTCAGACTCATCCATTCCTCACTTGTTGATGTTATTATCAAACTAAAGATACATATAACGTACTGAAATGTGCTGTGATTCTTACATGTTTTTGTCTACCATAGCACAAACGAATCGCAGCAGAACCCCTTGTCCGTCCAGAGTGTTGTCACTTATTTATTCATATTTATTCTTTATTTTCATTTAGGCCTATATAATTGGAAATGAACCCTTCAGTGATATTGTGGTAGCTGACAATCATCGCTGGATATTTAGTTACTTTGTGTTGTAGTGCATGTCAGACCCTGTGCCTTTTGTGAATGACCTGAAACTTTTCAGAATGAAAGAGAAGAATACAACCATAGTTTCCATCTGACATTGGTCTTCATTTAAAACAGAAACAAGTCAACCAGTATTACACAAATCACATAAATTCTCAGGAGTAGGGTTGAAATACACCATTGTCTTCCATCCAGCTGGATCTCCTAGGAGGTTTTTGTCTCAAACACCATTGCAGCATGTTTTTTTTTTTAGCAGATGAGAAGAAGTACTCACAATGGAGTGTTATCTTTCTTGAGATCATCATGTTCCAAACTGAGGTAGTGATCACTAACAAGGCGCTCCAGTATCTTCTCGATGTTCTCTCGGAGCTGAGTGAAAGATGGTCTCTGAAGTGGTTTCTCATCCCAGCACTTCAGCATTATTTTATACCTGGAATTTCAAACCAGATTTAGTAAAAAAAATGGAACTTGAGAATCATATTTGCCATGTTGAACTCAAAGTTCATATTCATATTAAACCTATTTTTGTTGCTCTTAACCCCTTTCCTACGGATGACGTATGTATACGCGATTTATTATCTCAATTTTCAAAGTTGTAGAGCTATGATTTTCATCATAACTCTATCTGTTTTTCGTTCTTCATATCTGTTTCTCTATACCTTCCTACAGATGACATATATTTACGTCATGGGACTTAGTGCCTGGCTGAGGCTGGAATAATACTGTTGGGATGCTGGGCTGGCTCAGTCAATCCTGTAGTCAAGGGGTTAATGAAAACGTACAGGTGTTAAAACTCAGTCAGCATTACATTGCTAATACCACATCTGAAAATTATTCCTAAGAGATGACTTTAGACCTACAGGTCATCAGGACAATCATCAGGCTGTTCCATCCTGTATCCTGTTTGGAGGAGGTTGAAGAGCTTCTTAATTGCTATCCCAGGATATGGCATCCCACCAAAGGTCACCAGTTCCCACAGAAGAATTCCAAAGGACCACCTAAAAATTGCATAATAATGCTCAAAAACAGAAGTGCTGTGGGGGACTAGGTTACACCCTTCTTTTTCTTGACGTACACATCACTCTTGCTGGTGTAGATCTGATGAAAGAGGGACTCAATAGCAAGCCATTTCACAGGGAGCTTCCCATCAGTGGTCTTATGGTAGACATTCTGCTCATAGACATCACGGCTGAGCCCAAAATCTGAAATCTTCACTCGTCGTGAGTCCACCATCAGAACGTTCCGGGTGGCTAGGTCTCTATGCACAACTCGATTCAATGCCAAGTATTCCTGAAAAGCCAAGACTTGTTCAAGGAACATTCTCTCTTACTGAAACTTTTTTGCATAATAGATTATGTACCATTCCAGATGCAATCTGGCGAGCAAAGGACAATAAATCCACCAATGTCACCTCCATCATCTCGTCTCCTCCCATCCCTGAATCGCCTATATCACAAAATTCATCATGAGGATGACAGCAAATTTATTTCTTGAAGGTTGGAACATGTCTACTTACTGTTTGATAAATTTCTGTAGCCACCATTGCTAGGCACACCTGGAAAATGTCAAATTTCAACAACTTCATACAAATGTAGGTTCTCATTTATAAAATATTTTTTATTGGCTCCAATATGGAAGGAGGGAGTTATATCCATGCTAATTATGGGTAGCACATCTGATGTAGAGACTATTGGCTCTACGTCAGATGTACTGACTATGCATGTATATGTAGGAAGACTAGACAAACCAAGTTCCAATTGAGCATAGCTCACATCCTGTGGGATCTGCTCCATCATCAGATTCTTCTCTCTCACCTATAATTGAGCAATATTTTTGTGCAATGCCGTTGATCTGTTGAGAGCATAGTTGTGGGGTTAGACTCACATCTCGGAGATAGGTTTGAAGGTCCCCACTAGGGCAGTGTTCCACAATCATGGCCACTCGGGGCCCCCGCGTGATGGCACCATAGAATGTCACCAAGTATGGGTGCTCACCCAAGCTCTTAAGCAGGCTCACTTCATTCAACAACTGGCTCCTCTCCTCACATGTTGCTTCCTCTGATGGAGGGGGAAGGTAAAAAAAATTAGTCACTTGCATTGAAAACTTGAAAGTCATGAAAGAAGTACACTAGGTGTCTCAAAAGTTGGAAATCTTAGGGTATAGTTGTGTTCAAAATGCCTGAAAACTTCTCCCCCTCCTTGGAAAAAAAAATTAAATTATAATTTGTATTTATTTATTCCTTTATTTTAATATGTTTCCATGCAATACGGAATACGATACGCAATCACAAGTTCTAGTTCAAGACACCCAGAGTGACCCAAGCTGATAAAAGTTCAACTTGGATCAGTGACATGACTTGGACTAGATTTTGTGATTGACTTTGACTGAAGTATCATATCAACTAAGCATGTAGTGGACAGCCTAGGAGGAAAATAATTCATACACTATAATCTTATGAAGCCTGAAATTTGCGGCACTATGACTGCTACTGAAAGGTAGAAAAATAACCAAAAGGAAAATACCAAACTAAATGTAAGTGAAACATGTTGAGATGAAGAATAATCAGTGAGTGATGGGCGGCCCTAGTAGCTATAGGAAGTCGTTTTCTTAGGACGTGAAAAAAAAATACCTTTGAGTATCTTAACCGCCACGATCATTGGGGGTGCAGAAGATTGGGACGAGAGGAGCTTGGCCTTGAGGACCATGCCAAAAGCTCCTTGGCCGAGAAGATCCCCCAGAATGATCCGATCCCAATGAATCTCCCAAGGATCTTCCACTTCATTCCCTGTTTCCGAAGCAGTCGCAATTCTCACGGGCTTGGCACCTATGCTCAGATTTCCATCCTCATCTCCCATCCCGTCCTGCTGGACGGTTTCATTCCCAAAATTTCATCTATTGTGTTCACGGTTTAGTGAAAAATTGCTCTGCGATTTTGCAAGAGATAGTCACCCTGACACCTACGCCATATTATTCAACTGATAATTCAAGCAGTTATTCTTTTACTGTACTTCGTCTTCATGATATATACTCGAAAGATATGGATTCATTCATTCACGTTGAAAATAGACTGAGAAAGAAAGGATGACAAGGGACCTCTGTCAGTGTGGGAGGAATGTGAGAGTTCTTGTGTTTCCTGCCATTCCTGTTGCCTCTGAGACAGAGGATGCCAGCGACTAAGAGGAATACGAGAAACACTGCTGTGACCACCAGCACCACAGCCACGATCCAGTCTTTCCCCATCCAACCTCCTCTTCTCTCTTCCAGTTCCAGGTCCTCTGGGTCTGGAGGGAATTGAAGTAATCACGGCTGACTGCACGAAAATACTAGCAAAATGTTTAAAATTCTTAACATTCCAAATGGCTTTATTTTCTGACCCCGTGGTGGCTATCGACGCGCACCAGGGGATTAACTCTGAAGCTATTCCACTGCTACCCGTCTCCTGCACGTACTTCTATCGTTTTTACCCCATTCACGTACAATGACGAACTGATACGCATATATTCTCAAGGGCAATATCACCACTGGCGTACATTTACATATAATTATTTTCATTGTTGCCTAAATGATATTGGAGTTTGTTTTAAGTTGGCATAAAATTCAAATCCCTTGTAAACGTAGCTGGTGACCTAGAGTATTTAAGTTTAGCAGAGGGATGCGAAAGGGTTAACTGGACAATATCAAACCGCGATGGCGTTGAAGAAAGGCAGTCTCATGATGGAAAGATGGCAACTTGAACATAAAAATATGTAGGGGAAGAGCTGAAGACCTACCGAGCCCGAGAAGACGGGGGTCCGAGAAGGGGATCCTGAGGTGCGTGCTCCCGAGTCGGATTCCGCGAGACACGTAGGGACTGGTACCGCCGACGGCTTCCGACCTGAGCCAGACCTTGTACACGGTGTCCCTCTTTATTGCCTTCAGCATGTACCGCGTCTTTTCCTGAGGGAAAGCACATACGTGCACCATGAGCCAAAAATGGAGATCATTAGAATAAAATTCTAGGGTTCAAAGTTGGACCTGCGTGCAACAATTTTTTTAAATATGAATAGTATCGTCATGTTGTACTGTGAGATCAGAATGACAATCTTGCTGATACGACTGGATGGGAAATTAACCTTCTAAAGCAAACATTTAAATAAATATTTTTAAAAATTCCTCTGCAATAATCTGTAAATATAACTTTTTTTCTTATTGCATTGTAAGAAGTGCTCACGGGCATTCGCCAGCTTCTAAGAAGAATGAACCATTTCAAACATAGAAGTGAAGGATTTTTCGAATCACAACTTCGTGGAATAAATATGCCGGCATTTCGAAATAATAATAAAAATGAAAGCAAGTAATGGATTCAAATTGCCAAATAAATCTGGATTTTACTCAAAAGATTCGGAGGAAGGTTCTATTGACTGCAAGGAAGAGATGCCATTACCGGAGGGATAGAGACGTTGAGAATCAGAGGTGATAAGAGGTCGAGGATATCCCGGACTTCCAGTCGATAATTCCTGATGGAATTGGAGGATGACATGCCCTCGGGGGGATCCCAGGTCACCACCAACCCCTCTTGACCCTGCCCTATCTTCACGTTCCTTGGAGGAGTCGGCGCTGAGTGGAACAAAATGATAAAATCTCAGTCAAGATTGAGAATCCATGGAGCATGAGAGAAACATGAATGCAGCTGGGTGAAATGCATCTCATGCTTCGGGTGAGTAGAGATGACGAGTTGGCCAAACCCTATCCCTAACCTTAGTTGAAATCATGAATAATTCATAATTTTCATGTCATTCACACCGAGTCGTAGGAGTCATGTATCATTCTCTCACCAGGTCATGTATCATTCTCTCACCAATTCTCGCCGTCACCGATTTGCGATTAGGAGGATATAGGAATTTCCTATTTCCGTTTTGTAATTGCGACAGAGAATGCTCTCGTCAGTGAAAAAAAAAAGTATTTTCGCGTCAGCAAAGATATGGCAAGAACATCGGGAAGATGGAAGAACGTGTGTGACTCCCCTAGGAACCGAACTGTCCACGGACCGCCACGCAGAAATCGCCCTTTTACCAAGCTCTCCGTATTGACCTAGATACGCAACTTCTGAATAAAGAGATCGAAAGGCTGGTTTCGCTATTAGCTGCAGGTTGACATACTACTTCTCCTCACTGTCATAGGTGTTATGCATCTTTTCTAATCTACTCTTTCAGAAAAAAAAATTCTGCAGGACGCCTCTGAGACGATCTTATACAGTCATCCTCCCGTGATGAGAGGTGAACGGACACTGAGGCTGTACCGTTTCACGACGCATGGGTTCATCTCTAATAAGCGAGACCCGTTGAGCTATTTTTGAAAGTGGCCTTGCTGACCCCAGATAAAGGACGAAGAAGGGACAGTGAGAGTCCCGGAATAATGCGATACTTCCGTGTCATGCGCGAGTCATTTCGTGGCGACGAAAATGACCCGTTGAGTATGAATGCTGAGAAGAGAAAAAAGGAAGGGAAGGAGGGCACGATCATTCATTCAGCGGAATTCCACGCATGCATGTGGATGTGGCCATCATCATGTGTTCCTGCCATTCCGACCCCGAATCTGTCTCACTATGCAGCTTCCTGTTCTACTCATTCCCGTCCAAGTAAGAACAAACGTTCCTTCCGAATACTATCACTACTACTACCGTTATCATTATTTGTATCACTGGTGACGTCTTTCAGGAAGCAATACTTGCTCCTGATAATCTGTCTAGGTAACTGACATTATTCTTTCTTGTTATAGGTCGATTTCCTTGTACAGAATACAGATTTCGATGTACATAAAGTCACCCTGTATGATACATGTTGAGAAAACATCGAAACTAACGGCATCGATTAAAACTGAAGGCATTGAGGTCTAGACAGGATGGAGTGGTGAAATTTGAAGTGAATTTGGGACCCCGTATCCCCAAGGACTTGGGGACGATCACCACGGTGTAAGTGGAGGCATAGGAAAGGCCCTTCAGTTCCGTCGCGTATGCCTCCTCCACCTGCCAGCGAAAGAAACAATACAGTCGTTTTTTTTTTAAATCCAGATTGATCATTAAAGAAAAAGGAAGAAACGATAGATATAACAGAAGCTGAACGAATATTGAGCAAAATTTTGGAGTGAGTGCAGGCACTAAAGCATAAAATTGATGTCAGAAACCAAAACAGAATTGAAATTTAAATGAAGACCAAGAACTGCACATAAAAAATTCCCAGGGAGGCAGATTTGAAGACTCACGTCGACGTGCTTGTAGCTGTCGTCCTCATCGTGGAGCCAATAGACGTCAAAAAGGCACGAAAATTCTGCAACATAAAATGCATCCTCTCAATCTTTACCTATATGGGTCTTCAGGCGGAGATTCTTATCTTGTTGAGTGACCCGAATAATGTGCTGAATATGGGACTGTAGGGGAGAGAGAAACGTGACTGGAGCCGCGAGATTGAATGAAAGGGAGGCCATGAAGTCGATCCATTGTCTATTGTCACGATGAATCCTTCAAGCCAGGGCTAGCTCTCTTTTATATGGCCTCTTCCAATGGAATGGACCTCGTTTCACAAGGGTGAATAATAGCGGAATAGCTACCATCACAGAACATCGATTTTTAACCTCAACATTTTCTTTCAATCTCATACATATAAAACTATTTTCAGCGAGAATTTGGCAGGAAACGTCAAGTACCCATGAAATGAAAGATGCAGCTGGAGGTCTAATGTACAACCACAAACTTCACTTTGGAGAGAGGAAAGGAAAAAGGTACTAATGATGATGGCAAAGCCTCATGATGCTTCATTTCCGGTCTCGGGGGTCCATTAAATGGAATAAATCTCCGGGCTCCACAAAGCCTCATTGTGGTCACGCTTCGCAGGTAATGTGGACCAGGAACGTAAATTCTCTCTCTATGATATAGGTGGGCACGTATCCTCATTAAAGGATTTTCCTCACCTGTATTGGGTTGCCATGATAAGATGGCGATGACTCCTTCCGAATTTGACCTCATCGAGGTCACATGGGCTGACGTGACCTCACTTGGCACGGCATCCTCAACTCCAACTGCAATGATAGTCCACAATTCGAATACCAAAATGTGAATCCAAAACCCGCAGGTATAATCGCGTAGGATCAACCCCCTAAGAGTTTCCCAAAGTCACGCTTCAAGGAACTAAACTTTGGGGAACAACATTTCCATGCGTCATTTGGATGCGAATAAAATCAATCAACATATTAAACCGTAGAACAGGTAAATTTGCAAGACCCAGAAGAACTAAGGATTTTGACATTCAATATATCTTTTCTTAGAAATTCATGTCAGCTTGCCTTCTGTGGCTTAGCAAGAGAGGGGGGGAGGGGGGCTTCAGCCCCCTAAGTCTGGTCTTAATACGTCCGTTCCCCCCCCCCTTTAATTCTTTTTTTGTCCAGGTTAATCTGTCCATTCAGATATCTTGTATCTTAAGTGCTTTTAGTGCTGCATCCAAAACGTCCAAATGGGGCTAAGTGATGATGGGGCTCAACAGGCCTCACTTGTCCAAATATTTTCGTTAGTTCCTGCTCAAGGTCGTTCACATGAATTGGATATTGTCAATTAGTACTTAACAGAATGAGATCACTATCGGAGACCTTCAAAAGGCGCACCACCTGGACAATACGGCAATCCCGTTTATCGAAATCGATCGAGTTGTTTCGGCTCTGTGTCGGTCGATGTGTTTTGGATATGAAATGGACTACATTTTACTGTTTTCCCCGCTAGACCAAACCCCGAGAACCTAGAAAGGCATAACATCCGGATTGGTGCTTCATGGGCAAAAATTGATTCCGTAGTTTTACCCTTGCCGGTTTATGTTTTGGATACAAAGTCCTTTTATTTTTAGCTCTCTCCATACTTAGCCAATTCTGAGGTCTCCAAATGAGCACTCTAAGAGCAAGATGTGTTCAACCGTATCTCATTTATCGAGTTCTTTCCCGTAATTTTTGTTCACGATCAGTCGGCGCAGTCTTATACGTTCGATTGCTATAAAAAAAATTAAAGATTCCCAACCACTCACGAGTGAGGCACGTGAGGAATTGAGGAATCTCTTCGTGTAATTGAGGAATCCTCATCATGCGCCTAATCAGCGAACACTAATGAGAAATAGACATTATAAAGTATTTATATTAAGTTCACCAGAAATAACTACAGTCTGCATCTTGCCTATTGCAGCTAATATAGACTTTCATTTTAGAAATGAGACACACTTAAAAACTAACTGGAATAATATTTCAGTCCCACGATGGAGGAGAGCCAAAAAAGGCACTGTGAAACTCTCAGTGCGTTTTATTGAAGCTTCACCATAGAATCATTTCTAACTAAACTTTTTAACCGTCCAGATTCTGTCCTAGGGTTGTGTGCTCACAAGACCATCGCACTACTCCCAGTTGATTTCGAAGGATTCTGGTCAGCGAAGGAGAGACGCCACCTTGATATCAATTTTTTAGGAGTCATTAAAAATTACTGCCTTTTTGTGTGCAATGTGTATTCATCTCTACATGCTTTAGATAGGAAACTGAAGTCTTTATGGGTCATTAAGTGAAGTCTTTATGGGTCATTAAGTTTTAGAAACAGTGCTACTAGCTGAAAAATGCATGAATTATATAAAGAAAAAAATTTATTTAAAGATAAACCTCCATAAAATGCCGCTATTTTGCAGACTTGATAAAGTGTCATGGAACAAGGACATGCAACTATTATTTTAAAATTATTTCTGCATAATTTGAAATAAAATTCCCCATCGTTTTTATGGAGAGTTTTTATGGGGGAGGGTTTTTATTCACTGCAAGTGAATTACTACATTTTAAAAATATTTATTTGCCAACCTGACAGAAAATCCAATTCCTACACAATAGGCTACGGCAAAAAAAACGTCAAGGTTCTAGCTTTTTTTTTATAGAAACAAAAGGGTTCTTGCTTAGGGAGGCAGTTCAAAACATGAATGCATGAAAAACCATGTTGAACAATAATTTTCTTCTTCCGTGAATCTTTGCCCCTCTCATGGAATGAAATGTTTGCACAGTCATGGGGGCTCATGACCATTTCATGTGAACCAGCGGAACTTTGCTGCAGGATAGCGTAATGATGATGCTTCAACAAAAACTGCCTAGCCCTAGCCGTAACCTCGTGAGGTAAGGAGGGATAAAGCGAAATATCAAAGGAGAGAGGAGGGAACATTACATTTTTTCTACCCAGCTTATTTTCTACCCAAATTCTTAGTTTTCATGGTCAAACCAGATTTTTAAAAATAAAATAAAATAGGATATGTTGAGATTAGATAACAAAATAGAACAAAGACGCAAATGAACAGAACCGGATCTATGATATAAGTTGACTGAAATCAATGGAATGATGAGGAAGTTTACAGATGAGACTCTCTTCACCTCAAGTGCCGTTAAAGAGCGTGAGAGCAAATATGGAAATAGGATCGCCATGACCTCAAACGTTTGCCAACACTCTTTGCTCAATGACATATCTGGTGACCCAGGAAAGCCCGATATAGAACGTCGCCTCATTCATCCCTCTATGGATCTTTTGCGATGAAATAAGGTTTACTCAATATTTGCAAGACGCGTAGAAGTACTGGGCGGCGTCATGCGAGGAAAATCTTTCAGTGCGCGCTAATAAAAAGAAATTCAAAGGAAAAGTTTGCAAAATTGATTCACAAACACACTGTTTTACAAGTCACTAATATGTTCACGTAGAAATATCCAGACAGGATATTAGTAATTTTTTTTTAAGTAGGTAGATGCTGCAAATCGTCAAGCCCTTCAGTGCGTTTCCTTGGGTTTGTGAAATGCATAAATTATTACACATTTTTCCAACCTTCATTTCTTTCATAAACCCTTTAATCCATGAGTATTTCTTTTTCGCCGAAAAAGGTCCGTGGGTTTTACTTAGGTCCTAGAGCACGGGATAAGTTTTTAAAATTTCTTCCTAGAATTTTCAAGTTGAAGCCCCGAAAATTTGATTGTTGTATTTTATTACGGTTAATTTAAAAAAAAATATTTTCTTGGTTCGGAATGTAATAGATATGCTACACCGTGCATTAATTAAAGGGCTAAGGTATAACCTTTATTTTTACGTTTAGGATATACCATAAGTCTGCTACGGATTTCTCCTTGTTTTTCAGTAGCTGTTTGGAGTTTGGATTTTAAATTTGCTATTGGTGTTCCGAAAGGCTTAAAGCTGCTTCCCTGAAGTTTTCCTTTAATTTACTCTGAAAGGTGATTAAATAATATTGGATGACAATTCAAGACAGTATTAAATCTACTCAGAGGGAGTTTCAGAAGCACTTCAAGAAGCAGTCTCCATCAGACGATGGCGGGGAAGATACGCAAGTTTTTTCAAATTGCCAGATTTTATTTGAGAAGCCCTCTCATGACTTTCTCATCAGAGAAACCCAGAGACGGTCAGGCCTGTTGGAGGTTGCTTCGCGCAGAGGTTCTGGAATTCCCTTTGAGTCGATTTAGCACTTTTTTTTCTACCACCATCCGCTATGCTACTTTTAATCTTCTTTCCAGTGTCAATGCAGTAGCCATCTTGGATTGACAACTTCAGTGCAGCAACTTTAGACGTTTGGGAAATTACAAATCCAACTCCAAAAAGTACATGAAAAACAAGGAAACGAAATCAATAACTCACTCATGGTACACCCAGAAGAACAGAGAGTATTCATTTCCAATAAACTTCCTAGACCTTTTTTTCAGGTTGCTGTAGTCCTTTACCTCGCCTGTATTACTTATCCAGTGCGGGGATGACGGCTAATTGCTTTTCATCAGAAATGCCTTCTTTTGTTAACTATTCAACGACATGCAATTCTCTCTCTTTGCGATGACGAACACCAAGAGGGAAAAATACATAGCTCCAGAAGGGAAACTGGGAATTTCGCCTTGGGAATGAATACGATTCATGTTCGCGGAAAGATTCGTCCCTTGTTGAGAAGTCAATTGCGACGGAGGATTGCGAAAATTCGTCTTCCATTCACACCGAAGACAAGACAACATTGACAAGGATATGATCTTTCAAAAGGCAACAAACCTGTAAATAAAAAATCCCCCATGATTCTTCTAGTTTACTGTGTCGGTTGACAATAGAATGGAATTTTCTGCCATTTCAATGAACAAACCAAAGGATATTTTGTGCTTTCTGTCTGAATTAGTTTTTTCCTAGCACAAAGAATCAGGAAGTCTTTTTCTTTTTCCCTTGTGCAAGTGATCAAGTGCATATCATCCCCAGATAATTACCTGGCAACTTTTATTGTCTGAAATAAATCTTATTTCCCATCACCAATCAAAAAAGTCAGAAAACTTTCAATAGGATGAGGTCAAGGATCACAGAAAAGAGGGTGCTGATGAGGTTCAGCTGTGCTTCCGGAGGAAAATGTCACCATATGCTCCCTTAAGAAAATTGAAGCCCAGTTCTGGGGTGTTTCCCTTCCGCTGGACTGAGGCACACATGATAGTCGTTTCGGACAAGCCCAAAAGGTCATAAGCAACGCCTAATCTCTGTCTTCCTCTTTGGGCTACGCGTCGTTTCCTTTAGAATACTCCACGAAATGGAATCTCCTGTCACTACTCAAGTCCATACATTCTTTCTGCTTCCTCTCTTTGTTCTCGCAGAGAGAGAAAGAAAATATCGCTTCAGGTCCCGAGGGGTTAAATCGACTCTGTAAGCCGACACTCCAGAAATAATACTGTATATAGGCCGTTTCTTTGTTCTCCCCCTTCAACACTATTCATAATTCCTGCAGCTGCATGTGATCTTTGTTGTTTCGCCATTGTGATTAATTCTTTCTTTGCGCCACCATAATCTGATAAGCCTTTGTAGAGCAGGTGTATATCGTTTCGTGACGCTACTAATTACCACTAATTGCTACAAATCCTGTGAGTCTTTGAAAGAAAATCAATTGGGTCGAGCCTTTTTTCCCCTTCCACTGTGGGAATAAATAGAAGGCTCACGGTGAGAGGGAGTCAATGGCATCTGGGATTCTTTTTCCTTTCACGGTCTGTCATCGGACTGTGAAGGAAAACTCCCCTAGACCGAATGTTGGACTCCTGACCGTGACCGGCGATTTTCTGTTCTTTCCTCAGGCTAAAGAGTCTTACGTTGACAGGCGCTCATCTTACACTAGTATAACTCACACGATAGCGAAAGAGTAAGAGAAGGAGAAGCATGCCTTGGGTTCGGTGCCTTCCTGGTGTTGACTCTTTTCACGGTCGTTTCACCCGCACTCGTAAATTTTACCGTTGCCCGGAAGATGCGAGCGGGCTTATTCGACTACGTTAGCTCTGGATGCCTCTCTGTGCGTAATTACGTGCGCCAGTGTCCTAGACTTCATTAAGGAGACTAGTCTGTCACTTCGAATTACGTGTAATAGATGACGCTGCAATCCAAAGCCTTGTATCTGCAAATCGAGAGACATACGTTCACTCGTTTCATGTTTTGTCATACGTGACTTCTTATGCATATCAGAGATCTTTGTTCCACTCAAATTACTCCAGAAAATTTTCATCAGACTGTCTAGGCTCTCTTTCGAAAATCAAAGAAGCATTACGTGCGCATTCTTTAACTGATCTCCACGGGCACAATGATGAAAATGAAATGATTGGATAGCGTGAGAGTGGGATAAATTGGCTTGATCAATTGCCGAAAGGGAGGGAGAGCGCAAGGGGGGACTTCGGCAAAGAGGGAGGGGAAGTGAAGTGAAAAGGATGAACGGTGTATGCTGGAAGGAGACGCCGTGCCAGTTGCGCTTCAACCTTCGTGAGAGTTGGTCGCATCGCTCCTCTTTTCTCTGCCTCCGGGTTATTCCCTCTTCCCTTCGCACCAATATATATATACATATACATGGAGTGTCGAAAAACGACGAGGAGTTTCGTCATGAGCATGGGAATAGCGGAAAAATGTGACGAAAATAGTGCATGAGAAAGAAAGAAAAAGCGGAAACACATCATCATGGATCACTTTAGCACGTGAGTACACGTTCCTGGTTCCTTCTTTCTTTGCCTTGATCTATATTTTTCCCCCCACTTTCTTTTCATACTTGCGCTACTCTAGCAGAGTTAGGCTTGATTAGATAGATCCAACGTGTATAAATTAGAGGTAGAGTTCGTTGCACGATGTGTCCTAAGGCAATGCGTAATGAAACGTCAAAGATTCCTCCATCATTTACGCCTCTAATGACATTCTTCCCAGGTGTATGAAAAAGTATTTAAAAAAAACATTCGTTAGGATGGAATGCGTGGATCTCGAGCGTGAATTTCTCCTCTCTTTTGGGAGAAGAGAGGAGAGAAGGTAAATTGGGATGACTTCCGGCTTCTTTTCTTCGCCTTACTCGAGAATGGAATGCTTGATCCGCCGCGTTTCCTTTTCGTGCTCGACGTGACGAAGCGGAAAGAAACAGAAGACTGGCAATGCCGAATTGCAGAGGGCTAGTGTACGTGGGGAAACGATGATCGTTCGAGACTGGGCCGATAACCCCGTCAAAGATCGATCAAGCCTCGGGCCTTATAAACTACGTAGTTTTTAATCACGACGAATCTAGTCAGGCAGTCATATCTCTTTTGTGCCAGCCAAGCGGAAACGCGATTGCTGATCATCCAATGGAATCCAGTGCAACAAAGGAAACGTTCCCTTTCCTTTCCCTCCCCCCCCCCCCTCCCTTCGCCGGACGGTCGGCAACTGAACCGGAACGAGAACATATACTGTGAAATCTGAGGGACGGAACCGAGAGACTTGAATAGAACAGACGTTCCCCGCAATCAACGGACCCCAGAGAATAAGGGACTCTTGCACGTACGTGTGTGCATCCAAGGGCTGATGGTCGATGGAAGGATTTGTCCGGATCCTGTGACCCCTGTCAACCTCCACTGATGATCCTGACCCGGAGCAAGGCCATTGCACGGGAACAACCCGTAGTCCGTCTGTTGCAAGAACAGACCCATATATCATGACAACTCATCCTCGAACTCGAGAGCCTCGATGACGTCAAGGGTCCTTCTCTTGGCGAAATCCCATTCTCTTATGAAAGCTCATTCGTCAAGGACTCACAAAAGGAGTGCTATGCTCTATCACAGCCAAACTGAGAAAGCAACTCAAGCCTGTAACTGTTAAATGACGATGAAAAGTCACTTTTTCGAGCGATGTGCTGCATCTTTTGAAAACTAAACGTCTTGTTCTGGCTCTCTCTCTTGAACTAAAAGAAACGCTTGATTAACAAAAAAAAATATTAGAAGACATGGACAGAAGTTTGGCCTTATCTATTTAAAAAAAAAAACACACACACACACATTGAGAATTAGCTTAGATTTCAAGCAACTTTCGGAGGAAGCACATAAAGAAAGTAACTAGTCGGTGGCGGCTTCAGTTTTCAATGACCGATGTCTACTCCAAGTGAGATGATTTATGATGAAGATGCTCCTGTTTGCATATGCCTGACACATATAATCGGTGAAAGTGGAAGTCTGGGAGGAATTTAAAGAGGGAGTAGTCACGGTGCTTTCCTCTGACACATGTCTTCGCATGACTAAAGAGGGACAGGAAAAGTAGCTCAAACATGGATTCATTCATTACGGTTCACTTATCTCTCCCCTCGTTGAAGACAGATTTTCTCTCTATTTCAATCTCGTGTTCCCATGCGGAAGTCACGGTTTCTCATCATCCACCGGTACTCGCGGGAAATTTCCAAGATTTTTTCATATAGTCCTACATATTTTTTTTTTTGAATGTGATGGTTGACTCACCGCGTACATGTAGTCAGACTGCTTGAGAAGGGTCCAATCGGGGCTAGATTTCGTTCTCATTTCCAGAACGACGGAAACAGGGATTTCGTATGTCTTAGGTTTCACGTCCCATTTCAAAATGGCAGTCACGGTTTTATCCCTCTCGTTCAGTTTCTGACAGTGCAGCCCAATCGGGCTCAGACTTGCCGTTGCGGAATCATCTGAAAATCGGATATTTCCATCGCACGATTAGATGGGAACCCGACTTTGGAAAACTCCTTTTTTTTTCTTGTTTAGCAGGTCATGGCAATTTTGTTATTTTGGCAAAGATTTAATGTTAAAACTTTGCGAACCAAATGCACAAGGCTTTGGATGCATAGTAAATCGAGACCCATGCTGAGTAAGTGAAATAGGAAAAACCTAAATTGAAAACGGATCGACAGTCAAAACAAAGAAATCAAGAGAATAGGAGACAAAGAAGTCAAGAACTACAAAAAATATAAGAACGGCATTTATGTACCAATGTTATTCAGTGGAAGAGTTAGATCAATACGGTCTGATTCCCATAGATACAGTAAACCTTGTGGGCTTCGTTTATGAGTGGTTAAAACGTGAGATATGGCACGGTTCGTACCACTTAAAGACCCGGTTAAACCGGTCTCTCAATGGAAAGAGAAAGCGCCGACTTTGGCTTTGGAAAGTTGTAAGAAGAGAAAAATCGGTCAGACCAAATCTTTCTCTTTTCCTCACCTTGAAGAATGAGGGAGCTTGGCAGGACGAGGAAACACCTCTCTAGGCACTGGAAAAGGAAAAATCCGGTCCGTATTTCAGGCCATGTATACGGAATGAGATCAGGGAAGATTTTTTCTCGTGACTTTTCATACCTTTTCACAATTGCGACTGTAGCACTTGAATGGGAGATAGAAATCCCTTGGATCCCCGTTGAAAAGAGGCCCCTCCTTCTTCCCTCCCTGCAATCATCTCAGATAATATATTCTAGTGTTCCCGAAAGAAATGTGGAACTTTATTGTCAATGGTATTTTCTCCTGTTTCAGTTTTGATGAAGGATACCCATAGAAGTACGTTCGCGAAAGGCGCACATAGTCGGTGAGCTACGTGATAAGATTCACGAAGGAAAGAAATGGTTCAGTATGTCGCCAAATGATGTGGATCAATTATTTTTCCCAGACCCTACTCGCGGTTTGAGGGATGCTCATTCGTGCATCTCGCTGTAATAAAAGGGTCCAGTAGATTTTCAAGCGGAAAACAATTTTTCCGCTTCATTCCCCTTAGATTCGCAGACTTATCCTTTGGCGAGGTTTAAATCCACTCCGAGTAAAGAGTTTAATTTTCTCCTAGTCCAACTCTTCGCTTTACGAACAGTTCTTTGGAGATGGTATTTGAGACAGGTTTCGTTTGGCACTTTCAGCCTCCAGGTTACTTGCTCTAGCTCTTCTCTTATTTACCAGTCAATTTATAGTAACTATATAAATGTTTCACATTCTTTGCTCTCACACTTTCAACAAATTTTTGGGCAGATACTCTTGCCATTCATTCCGCAAGAAAATATGCCAATCGCAGATATGGGAACCCGTAAAGTGGGGTCACTTTGCCACGTTTTAAAAACTTGGCTTTTTTCAATATAACCTGTGCCTGGATGAATCTTTCTGCTCTTAGAATTCCTCCTGTTATTGAGATCGGCTTGAAATCGCTATCCTCATTAGCCTCCAGCCGCTTTATTTTTTAACTTGAAAGTAGGCGAAGTAGCCCCAGGTCTGGACGACTTTGCTTACCGGTTGAATTTAGTGGATTCACATCTGAGGGCAGGTTAGCCTCCTCCAAGGATCACTTTACCGCTTCTCTTGGTGAAAAAAAAATCACTTTCGATGAGGTGCAGGAAGCTTTCCTCATTTCCATTCAGGACTGTTGGTCATCAATATTGCACGAGTGTCTTCTCAGTTATTCCATTCCAGTACTTATAAAGTCCATCCGTTCGAATCGCGGGTCGAGAGAGATAATAAGCAAAGGAAGACATTAGCATGTCAGGCGGCACTAGGACCTAGCACTTATACCATCTGCTGTGCTGAAAGGAAGTTATCTACCTTGAACTTCCATGAACAGCCCTGGCCAGTTCTTCGCGGAAGCGCATTGGTACCTTCTTAGAACAGTTGTTCAATAAACACCTTCGAATTATTTTCAGTTTGAGTGTATGCAATAAATATAAATGCAGTTACTGCTTGGACAAAGCTATCAGTGCCGGAATGGACAGTTACGGTACCCCGGGGAAATCGGATTATGGAAGACATAAATGACTACACCTTTGGAGACACCCAACTGTACACTAAATAACGGTTCACGGGGGAGAGGAAGCTGGAAAAAATAAATGTAACCGACAGACAAAGTTACCTGGATGGACATGATAACTTAGCCTAGTGCCAACAGACTTTTAAAGATGGCGATGCGCACAATCTCCTTTCAATTGCAGATGTATGCTTCTCTGTCATCTTATGATTAGTTTTATTTGCGTCAATGTTACAGTCTCAGAAATGCAGTATTACACTTTTTACACTAGCACTAGGCATTTTTAAGGCGTTAACCAGGCCTGACCCATCCCGAACTAGCCAACTTTTTTTAACCTTTTTTTTTTCCTTGATGAAATGGTCCCCTGAATATTGCCTCATTATATATTAAATTAAAGAAACGGGGAAACCAGCAAAAATACAGTTTGTCAAAGTGTTGCATATTTGTGCGACATCCTAAAATCTAGTGGTTTGAATACCAATATGTATTGAAAAATTGTACCTTGAAATTCTAATGGAGATTCAGATTCAGTTGTTAAATTCCTTAGGCCTCCAGTTAGCTACCATAACCGATCATAAATTGAATGTCTTCTTACGATTTAAAGACTCCTTTCGTTTTTTCTCACCCAAGAGCCTCCCTCTTCGAGTAGCACATTTGCCTCATTTCGGATCCTAAATCTTAGTTTGACATCAGATTCATCGCAGGGCAAATTAGGAAGCCTAGGATTGCCAACTGTTCCTCAAGTCAGACTTGGAGACTCATTCACATGTCAAAGGTGCCAAGAAGGGTTGGTCAGACGACAATTTGATGCTATATAACATTTTAGGGGGGTAACCTGGACCTGCATAGTCTAGCTTCAATGGCGTACCAACTGTCGTCTAGGTGGACCAGCTGTCTCATTTTTGGTGGGCTAAAGTGGTTATGAGTGGTTCCCGCTGACCGAGATGGGGGGGGGAAAGAGTACAACTGCTACACTTCCGCCTCTCCAGTTGTCCTAATGTATATGCCTTTGTCTAATGAAGTGATGGCCAATATCGTCATATAAATGTCATATAAGTGCAAGGCCTCAGGACTAAAGGGCAACTTGTGCTGAGTCACGGCCTTGTTTTTCCTCTCCCCGAATGAAACCGGGAGAATCCCAGTCCCCGGCACTCAGAAAACAGGTCGGAAGGGGATTAAGTTGGTAGTCCCTTGGTCAAACCGGAAGAGCTGGCAATCCTACGGAAGCATGAGAATCATTCTATTTTTCCTGCTGACCTGGCCTTGAATGCAGGAATCATCAATGCGGAAGAGTTTTAAAGCATCTCCGAATACTCAGACTGCAATTACGAGAGAGGGAGAGAAATTAGAGGTCCCGTTGCCACACGATTACGATGATTGGGGACGAGCACGCCTACAGGAACTTTCCCCATCAAGGTCATTGTCTTCCGCCTGCCGTACGGCTTACTTCTGAAAATCTTCCTCGTGTGAAAAAAAAAAATTGTCCCGCGTTGATTAGCTGGGGAAGAGAAAATTAGTGTCGTGACGAGGACGGAGATACGATCTACCGTATTTCCCAGACATTTTTTTTCCCCCTTTCTCTCCCGCTGCACTGAGGCCTGGCCGCCATGAAGGGAGACTCGCCACGGCCGTTTTTTCCTCCCCGCTTCATTCCACCCTCTCAATAAGGAGATTTAAAGCCATGGAAGTACGTGTGTGGTTATCATGTCCCACTTTCACCCCGAATGAAAGAGAGACGGAAGGCGTTTTTCCATAACGCCAATGCCAATTTTCATAACGAGATCCTTATAAGGTAGTACGTTCATAGAAGGGGAAAGGGAATACACTTCCATTCTGGCTTACCTGAAGAAGGCATCGGGCACGACAAAAGGCCTGTTTGAGAGCATCTTGGAATGTGGTGGTGCCTCCATCGGAGTTGGAGGGAAAACCACAGACGATGAGCGAAAAAAAAACCAGGCCGAGTTTCGCCTTTTCTAATCCCACTCGGCCGGAACGGAATGGCATTCACAAAGAGAGAGAGAGAGAGCTTCACTCGGACATGGGACAAGAGGGGAAATGACTCGGGGGAGGCAAAGTAAGGTCACCCTCATTCACCCTTTCGCTTCTCTTATCCTCAAGATCTCGAATTCAAAATCCAAACCCCGCTTCTTTTCATTCTGTGCCCTCCGCATTGAACCCATGAAATAGAAGGCATGTTGTACCGACAATGGAGGTAATTTGACTGGGTTTGGACCTCTGGATGGTGATGGGGTGAAGAGAAAGCGAAAATTTATTCCCCGCTAAGTTGAATCGGCACCGGATGGCCGAGTGGAGGTCTGTGTCCGTGCCCTCGGGGGAGGCCGTAAAACCCTTTCCAACGACCAAATCAACGACCGAGAAGAAAAACAAACCCATCCGTACGAGCGATTCTTAACTGCACGACTATCGCCATGTTTTCTGGGTCATATTTGTCACGAGTGCGGGACGTAGTTTCTCAGAGTGTCTCGGGAGCAAATAGATACAAGCCTAACAACCGAAACACCTAGTTTTATCCCGGAGCAGCTCAGGTAAAATGAGCCTCTTTTGAGAAATTACGTATCAGTAGTCGAACTCCCCGGTCCAACACATTTCACATCTTCAGGTGAGCGAGGCATCGAGGAGTATCACCGCGCCCTGTTTGATTACCAGAGAATGGCTTATTATATGATTTAGTTAATGCCGATCAATTCAAAGCTACTGACACGCAAATAATGGAATCTGAAATTAACTGGAAATTTGAGATGTACAAAAAATGAACACAATGAAACTCAACTCAATGTGAGTCGAGGAATGGGAACCCTGTTTAATTATCTCGAATAATAACGACCGGTCCGGCTTTTGACAGCCAAAATATGGCTTCATATATTACTGTGATCAAGTTCAAGTTTTTTCACGGGCTTGGACCAAACCACAAGTAATGTCTCTAACGTAGGATGACCATACGTCCCGGTTTTTCGGGCTATGTCCCGGTTTGAATTTTCCATTCCATCCTGGTGTCCCGTTTTTTTTTCCCCATTGCCGGTTTTTTTCTGGAAAAAAAAAATTCTGGTCACCCTACTCTAACGTCTAGTTCGGAAAGTGTTTCTTCAGGTTCTAAAAAAGGAACTCACGCATCAAGGTCCTTGAATGTCGACTCTTATCTCTCACATTATTTTCGGGAGAGCGCTGGATTCTCGGTTCTAATATGATCCATCAAAGGAGATTGAAGAAAAGGTGGAACAATTTCGCTCGGGTGAAACCCACGATGAAATAAAGAACTCGAGTACTCGTTCATAGCGAAGCGGTACTGATTTTTATTCCTGATTCTTTCTGAGGACCCTTGTCAATTCTGAGAGGGAATCAAGAGGGGAATCCGTCTCCAATGGGAAGCTTCTTTCATTGGCAGTCACTTTTTAAAAAGAGTTCTCATTGGATGTATGAAAAATTTCTGTATCCGCCTCTGACGTGACCTGGCTGCTTGCGGGAAGCATGAGTGCTCGAAGTTGGGGGTGGGCGCTGCCAATGCCTTCTGCCATCCTGCCTTGAAGCTGCAATCAGTGACATGCAAATGCATGCAAATTTTCAAATTAGGCGCCGCCTATCCCAAAACTCGTACCCCAGCAGATAGCGAACGGTCCATCGACATCACGCGACAACAGCCATGTGATTGCTCAACGCTGTGGTTCAGTCAGTGAGCCACTTACATAAAGCCAAGGGGAAATATGAATACAATACCCCTGTCTTACGATTCGATGTGTTTTGACGAGCCTATACTGTAACTGCTCACATACGACCATCCGTCAATGCTCTGCGCAGGGCAGGATCACGTGAAGTAACTTGCCACCACTACGAACGGCCACGAAGAGGTCATCGGGCCACGTAGAATCGGTATGGGGGCCCCGTAGGATTTCAGCGGATCGTGACGACAGTGTGCCTGTATTCGTATGTGTATGATGCAGGCTTTTTTCTTCTCTCTCCTCTTCTCCCCGTCGAGAAAAAAATTATGACCCATGGAAGAAGAGAGAAGTTCTTAGTCCTGCAGCTTCTCGGGCTCGCATTTATTCGAAATGACCTAGAACATGACGCAGCCATTCCTTTTCTCTCTTTCTCCGCGGCACCGGGCTTGCTTGTTAGTTTGCGGTTTGGTGTCGCGAATGGGCATTGACGAGAAGGAATCTCGGGGACAGGAAATGTGACGTCCCTGGAAAATGAGGCGAGGAAAAGGCCATTTTCTTCCGGCAGGAAAAAAATCTCAGAAACGAGCTGTTGAAAAAATCCATGACTCATTCACACGTAATACAACCGGAGAATATCCCTCGTTTCCTTTCCTGACGATTAGATTCGAGTTCTGCTCAGGACGTCCGGCTTGAAACGGGAGCATCTTTCTTGCCTCGGTTTCCAGTATTTCTCAAGATCATCTGTGAAGTGCCACTTTCCCAGATGTATTTGTGGCAGTTTGGAAGAACTGTTGTGACAGAGGGTAAACCGAGCCATTACGTAAAATTCCCAGGAATGAAACATCGCCTTGGGGTGGTCATTACTAAATCCGCCAACGTGGGAAACTTTCCGAATCCGGCACGGCGCGCATGATGGAATGGGATCATCCCGTCTCGAGTATCGTAAAGCGAGGTTCGGTCTTTGGGCACGGACAACGGTGACCTTGTGGCTCGATTCCATTGTAGCGTCCATTTACCGCTGAAGATACGTGGAGATGTGGACACTGTGCAAGCACAATTCCACTGTGTTTAAGAACATCTTCAGGAGACTTAATGAATAAGTCTTTTGTATGATTATCTTTGCTGTGCCAAAATCCTCGGGAAAAAATTGTTTATGGACGAGCTAAGAGTTCAGTTGAACGTAAAATTCGATTTTAATATTCAAAGTACATTGAATCGATTTGTCGGGAAAATGTAGTTTATATCCGACTTCAGGGAGTAGTTTGAGAATTTTGCTGTTGCTGCAAACGGACAATTCGGGGTGTTCAATCGGTCAACTCGTAAAGGGGTGTATTTTCAACGTTCTTTCTGGCGAGAAGTTGAAATGTAAAAAGGTGTGGGCTATAGTGTCTGGTAGGTTCCGACACGACTCGGTGAAGGTATGAAGACCCTTGTGGCACAGGATGAATGGGCCTGCGCTGCCTCTCGTTTGGCCCTGACAGGTTTCCATCATTTGGCCCAATCTTGGGGGTGCACTACGAGCCATGAATGACCCATCAGCGATAATGGATGGTGGCCGCTGTCCATTGTTGGACCTTGATATCCCAAATAATGATGGTCTTTTACGGCGTTTATATCGCATAGTATTAGCTATGATAATTTCTAGCAGATCGCCCGTATATCAAAGGGCGTAGGCAAGGCTGGCCATAGGCATGTGTCACGCGTGCCCCCATACAGGGCGCAAATTCACCAGGGGCACCAAAACGTGCCTGAATGTATGAAGCAATAATGGATGCCACCCTCAGTTTTGCTTCAGAAGTGAAAATGCCTTCCGTTTCGGCGTCATTTTGGACACGCTGGGGGAAGGGGGGGGGGGGGGGGGGGGGGGGGGGGGGGGGGGGTTGGGGGGGGGGGGGGGGGGGGGGGGGGGGGGGGGGCGGGTGGGGGGTATCTTAGCACATGGCACCGAAATAGCAAGGGCCAGTGTGACGAAACATTACATACACTGACCCTGAGCATAGGCCTATTCGAGCAATTCTAATTTGTCATGATTTTGCATTCATAAAACCGTGGGTGAACTGATGAAGGAAGGTAAATATCTGTACGTGTCTTGAATGCATAGGTGAACACCTTCCCCATTCTGGGGACTGCACAAATTCGAAGTCATTCTTGGGGTTGCAAACCCCTAATTGCTCCTCTGAAGCGTGAAGCAAGCGGGCAGAAACCAAATATTTCTCTTATTATCACATACGCATAATTTAACGCTGTCTCGGTTGACTAAGTAGACGATCGACCAATCTAGCAGTACCACAGACTTTTCCTATAAATTAACATCCAAGTGAAGAGTCCTTGGACGTGAGTGATTTGGTGGACACCAGGGGTGGGGTGCCGATGCCTCACCAAGAACATCATCAACTGTCTGTTCTTAGGGATGAATGCTTCTGTCACCTTTGGTCAATGACTTCGCAGCTATTTTGTATGAACCGATAATGATCCAATGATTGTTCAGCGATGGTAATTAGTGGGAACGATGTATTAGTTATGCCAGTTCGGGAAACATCGGGTTAAGTTTATGTGCTGCTCGGCTGGCAAGCATAGGTTATGTAAATGTGGTTTGGGTTGACCATGACCCAGGTCAAGTCTTGCCACTGTTGCTCTTCTATAACTCATGAGAGGAGAGGGTAAACATATGAATTTGTTGCAAATATCTTTTGTTTCGCGATCGATTCACTATTCGAATAAGATATTTGTCTGCCATTAAATATGAATACATTGATATTGTACGACCATCAACACAAGCATTATTGGCCGCCACTTAACTATTTCACACCAGTGGCGGCGGAAGATGTTCACAAGGGAGAGGGGCCAAAGCGCAGCTGTTTCCTCTCCCACACCCCCATTTCTTCGCGTTCCGCTTTCGACTCTTGCATAGAATTGTCACACTTTATGCATTGTCACGATTCATCTACGAAAACTAGCTTGCTCATGATGCATTTATTGCATCGGAAAGCAGTGGTGCATAATTGTTTTGAATAGCTGCAAAGTAAGTGACAATGGTAATTAGATAGGTATTGGTTCATGGACACTGATCGAACTTCTTAGTTTTCCGACGAGTGGTGACATCTATTGATAAAAAATAAAGATACTACTCTGTTCAGATCAAAGATAGTTTGAGGTAGGGTAGCCTGCCGTGCTAACTCTCATTCCTTGGGGCCAATGTGTGAAGGTTTTGTGGTGTCTTCGCAACATTCATTAGGCATATAGTTTATTTATGGCCTACCCAGAGCGGGACGATAGAGGAACTTTCCATCTTGAAGTCTCAGCTAGCGCTCTGTGGGATTAACGTTAGCCTTTGCGTATGATAATCGAAGCTTCGGATCCTCACTAGTACAAGGAAGGCCTAACATT